TGAGCTCTTTTTCCATTCTTTCAGCTAATTCCTCAAGCACTGCCTCTCTGTCAGGCCCAACAGTCGTTTTGGCTTTTTGAAACTCATTGTTCCAAGCATTGTACTCTTCCTCATCAAGCTTTCTGTAAGCTAGAGCCAATGTTCTCAAACCATTTTCTCCATATTCGTTCAAATGTTTGGTTGTGGCCTCTAAATACGTCTTTCCATTCTTCGCCAGTCGATCAAATATGATACTGCATAACCAAGTAGAGTGAGATGACGAAAGTCAAAGCTTGATTTGTGTCCACATGTGTACATGTTTGCAGGCTTCTTTCCTTGGACATCTCGTTGGTGCACTGATTTTCATATTTTATTGAAAACTAGAGGTAAGTATACTTTACAAAACTTAATGAAATTTAAATTTCTTTCAAAATTCACTCTAATGGAAAATCCAATTGGAGCTCATTCTTGGTCATTAGCCTCAATATATTCTGTTGAAAGCAGTTAGAAACAGGAACCTGACATTACATAAACTAACCTGTCAGCCCCTTTGCACATAAGAAGTAAACTTCCTTCCTCATCACGCACAATCACTGTCATTCGCTTTCTTTTGCTAGTAAAGTCCAATAGATTCAGGATTTTGTACTCCCTGTATCATTCAGCCAAAAGAAGAATAAATGTAAAATCAAAGACAGAAAAATATTTTGATATAAATAATTGCAAGAATTGTAAACATTCCTCAATGAACAATAAAAGACAAAAAAATATAAGCCCAACGAAGTTTACCTTTCAACAGCTTGTTCTGAAGGTGAAAGCTTTTCATGGATGAAAACACTTGCTTGAGTTCTTTTACAAAACTCAAAACCAAATTCTCTTGCGGCTGCTAAGAAAGCCCCTTCATCAGGGGATTCAGCCTCATAAGTTAAAGCTCCTGTTTCCTCATTCAGCTCAGGAATGGCAGTATGGCACACAGCTAATATCCGAAAAAACAATAAAAGGACATCAGGATTGGGCTCTTTCAACCAGCTGCAGTTCATGAGGCGACCGTCCTCAAATCTGAAACCCTTTATAGTAGCCTTCTGAGCCTCATCACCCTTGGATGTAACAACAGTCTCCAGGTCAACATTTTCCCACGAAACAGATGCTTTACCCTCATGTGTGGGTGTATTGGATAGACTTTCCTCCTGCTGGTCCTCCTCAAGTTCAAGAGCCATCTGCTGTGCTGTAGCAAGTTCAACTTCACTAGAACTCACACCATATGCAGCACCAGCAATGGAGCACTTTAAAAAATCCATCTGATTGCAAGTTAAAGTTCCAGTCTTATCAGAAAGAATAGTGTCCACTTGACCCAATTCTTCATTCAAATTTGATGTTCGGGCACAAGCAGGAGTCCCAGTTTCTTCGTGATACATATGCAAGTCTTGTTCAACCAAGTTTGCTTGTAAAACTTTCACAACCTCAATTGAAACATAAAGTGATATGGGTATCAAATATCCATAAAGAATGAGTGCAGTAACCAGATGACTCAACCCAGCCAATAGAGCATTATTGGGATCATACAGGACTTCTGACTGCATGGGCATTAAATACCACCAATTTATTGTTTGGAATCTAGTGATTACAGCGAATATTACTGAACTAACCAAGGATATCAAAATAAGAACAGTGAATAGGAGGTATATGATGTAATCCATCTTTCTCTCTATTCTACTCCTTTTTGAAGGAGATTTTGTAGAATTCTGCATCACTTTGCTTTCATGACCAGTGAAAATGACCACGCCATATATAAAATCAGTGTTCCTGAGCTTTGAATCTCGGAGGAGAATTTGACTGGGCTCAATCGGATGAACCTCACGTTCATACTCAAAATTTCCTACAAATGTGTAGAGACTAGGATTTGGGTCTTCACAACGAATTATTCCCGTGAAATCTTTAAAAGATTCATCATTATATAGAAGCATGGTAACCTCCAAAGATCTTTTCACCTTTAGGTTTGTCTCACCATCTAAATTCATAGTTTCCACATAGCATATCCCATCCTCATAACTGGATGACAAGAAAAGCAAATCAGCAGGAAAAAATTGGTCCTTGTCTACTTTTACTACATCCCCAACCACAATGTCCTGCCATTGTTTGAGAGTGAAAACACCATTGCCCTTGTGGACACTAGCATTCCGGTGATTAACTTTAACATCCTGACGAAACCTGCGCCAATCTTCCAATGCTTCTTTTGCCATGCTAAGCCCAACAACAAATGCTAGAGGAGCAATCATGCTGACTGGAGAAAATGGTGAGATTGGAGAGGCCGAGAGGCATGCGGCCACAAGGAAGTATATATTAGCAACCCGTCGAAATTGCTCATAGAGTGCTTTAGGTAAAAATGTTACAACATTGTATTTTGTAGTTGATATATCATTCCGGCAGTAAATCTGAGGCTTCTTCTCAGAGAGATGAGGGTGGTTGCAATGTACAACTCTTGAAAAACCAGGACCTTGAAGGTTTTGAGCATTCTCATGTGCAGTGTGAGTTCGTCTTAGACAAGCAAATGTGTAAAGATGGCTCCTTTTAATCTTTGCTCTTAATTTACGTAGTCCCATTTAGCCAGATTTCAGCTCAATGCGGTAATCGTTTACACATGCCAACTAAGAACAACCAAGTGTAGCCTTTAGGAGCGAATTATCCCCAGTTTCTTCTTCTAAAGCCTAATAAGATAGGCATACGAAAATTATTAACCGCAGCACGTAAGCATGATCGTTTGATGCATAAAATGTCTGTATAATATGTAAAGTTGAATAACTTGAAATCAAATTATAAATTCACGAGTGAAAAACAGAGAAAGAGAAATGAAATCCGAGGTAAAATCAACTATTCAAATTCGCAATCATAAATCAGTTAACAACCATGCTCTCCAAATATTAAAAATAAAACTAAATAAAAAATTGGCCAGCTATTGTCTCTTCCCGACTAACTAATGCATTCATGGTTCTTGGCTTTTTCAAAAACTGTAGCAGAAGCAAAACGAATCCAGCTTATGCAGAAAAACAATTATTAATACGCTCGTAACCAAAAGCTCCATATTGAAAAAGAAAATTCCTATTATGGAACAATCAACAAAGCTTCAAGATACAGGTCATGAATGTGAAAATATGAAAAAGAAAATGTACCGAACGCCAGTGAGTCGTTCATCTTCGAAATGCAGCAACGTGGGACATAGGACGGAGACATGAAACATCAAAGGAAATTCGAGTTGCAGATGGAAGGAGACAAAGTCCAGAGAGAGAGTCACTAAAGGAACACCAATCGAAGAAGGGGGGAGAGAGACAGAGGACAGTGGCCTCTATCTCGCTCCCCCTTCCCTCCGGCCTCCTCAGAAGTCGGAAACAATGTCAGGAATTTTCGGTCCCTCGTTTCCCGCTACATGTATTTTCTCAGAAAATTTGTTTCAAAAAATATTGCATTATTTGCAAGATTTAAAAAACAAAAGGCAAAAAAAAACCACTGAAATAAAAAAAATTACAAATAAAGACTTATGACAATATTAATATGGGTTTTGACAATAATAATATGAGTTTTGATGACAATCTTTACAAATCGGTCTTTGCATGTAATTTTTTTTTAGGCAGTCCTTTTTCACCATTTTCCCATTTAAAAAAGAAATGTTGCGAAATAAGCAATTTTTCTTACAGATTTTTTAAGTTATTTTTTGCAACGTGGGTTTGGCCACATGGTTTTAAGACAAATTTTTTCAACTAAAATTTTGTTCAACTGGGGTAAAGCCATTTTTTATATACTAGCTCAGGTCCTTAATATAAAACCCTGTTTGACTTTTATTTTGATCCTAAATATAAGATCGCTATCCACTTTGTCTCTCATATTTATATATATATTTTTTTCAAAGTAGCCTTTCTAACAATGATAGTTCTAGTTAATACACTTAATTAGCAAGGATATTTTAGAAAAGACAACACATATTTAGGATAAATAACTAACTCAACTTACTTCTTTAATCTCCTCAAATTAATCAACTAGCTCTTATAATTAGAACCGGAGGTAGTATTTTTTAAACTTATATGAGTAATATTTAGTGCTATCAACAAATAACAAGTTTACATTATTGTTGGATGTAAATAATTAAATCGCATTTGCTGGCCTAAAGGTGGTTTGGAAAAAAAACGTCAATGATAAAAATTTCTGTTGTTCGCTGAGCTTGCCAAAAAAGAAAAATTACCTATTTTAGGGTTGATAATATTGATGGAGCGAATTGAATAAATGCATTATTAGATATAAATATTAATAACTCTTTTAACATGAATTTCTTAATTCATATTCAGTCCCGAAAATTACTTGAGGTGTATTAAGTCTTTTTTTCTTTTCTTAGTGAGTAAAATGTTTCAAGTCTTTTTTCATCACCATGTTTGCTGCATGGATTTTAACTTGTGTTTGTAATATATTTTCAATATTAATGGTGAAGTTTACTTTAATTTTTTTTCAGAGAGTAATTATACATAATATAAATACAAAATTAAAAAAATGATAAATTTGTGTACATATCTAGCATTAAAAAAGACTTCAAAATTTCCAAGTCTCAATAACAAATTTAACGGTAACAATAAAATGAATTTAGTAACAACATTATATTTATATATTTTTGTAAAAATATTTTAAAAATAATTTAATAATTTTAGAAATTTGCTTTTTTTTTAATAATTCAACAATAACAAAAATAAAATAACTGAAATGCCCAGAGTGAATTTCCCCTTCCCTTCTTCGCTCCTTTCCTTCTTCCTTTACGTTCCCGCTCGTAGAAGCGCGCCAAAAGTTCTTCCCATACCGTTCATGCCATGCTTTCCCGATACGCAAATCTAGCAAGAAAAATGAAAATCGAAATACACAACTGTTGAAACAAATATGAAAATAACGGAGATGAAAACGAAAATACCAGTGCTGGCAAAAGTGAAAATAATAATCTCTGAAAACAGAGGCAACGGAGATTGCTCGTGCAGCTGGAATCATCACCAGAGATGACGAAAATGAGGCGTAGGAGGAAATCGTTGCGGCCTAAGAATCTTGGGCGACCAAGGCAGTTGAAGAGAGGGATGGAGGTGGGGTTGGAACGGAAGGCGATGGGACGGCAGAGCATTAGGTGTAGTTGTGAGGAAGGTTGGCGAGGGGAATCTGGACGTCCGGCGATGAACCTAGATCTGATCGGGTGCGAGGAATGTTGGCCGCGAGGAAGGTTGGTGAGATTCTTGTCTCTCGACAACGAAGCTTTGGGGGGGGGGGGGGATGATGCGTCGGGACCGACAAGACAATGAACGCAGGGGGTGAGGATATTTTTTGAAACGTGATGTTTTCTGGCAAGTGAGGGTGTTGCTGCTCATTTTTGAAGGGTATGATCACCCATAGATCATGGAATCTTCATCTATTCTAAAATCCACATCCCGACCTGAAAAGACTAACCAAACGGGCTTACCGTTGGAATGGAAAGACGATTCCCATTCTTTAGCTTATCAACAGTTGAACCAAACGGTCATTTGACAGTTAATCGTCTACATTATTGACAAAGTTTTGGAAATTGGAATTCCTTGCCGAATCTCTGGAGTAGTATTGCCTTAAAAGTCTAATTCCTAGATACTCAGTGAATATCTTATTTACCCTATGATTGATAAAGTCTTCAATTCTTCTATTTATATAAATGATGATAGAAGATGGAATTATTCACGTGATAGTTATTAGCAGCAGTGAGGTGGTGCGGATACTCTTTTATTCTGTTCAAGAGTCTCTTTTGCTCTGTGTTGATGACTGTATTTTCCCCCGCGAAAGACGTCTGGATTTATTTGACCTACAAAACACGTTAATCTTTAAATAATGATTATCATCGCCATTCGTTAAATTCCACTTCATCTAAGCAATTATGCATTTAACCAGATTAAAAAAACCGTAATTGATGGCTTTTTCTTTTTCTTTTGTCTTTTTTAATGACCTTAACTTGGTGAGCTTTAGTCAAAGATACATATTACACGGTTATTGGTTTAGGTGTAAAATCCTCCATTCCTGAAAGTTTCATATCTTCAGTATATGTTCATTTGGCTCTGAAGAGTTAAAAGTCAGTCAACTCTAATCACTGCCTCACACCTTCATCACCATTTCAATATCATGGCTGCTGCTGCTGCTTCGTCCTCTTCCTCCTCTTCCTCTTCACTTCCTCCCAAGAAACATGATGTGTTTCTTAGTTTCAGAGGCGAGGACACTCGCAGAACGTTCACCAGCCATCTCTTCACTGCTTTGTGCAAAAGGGGAATTCGAACCTACATAGATAATGAGCTCAGAAAAGGGGATGACATCTCAGACTCACTCATCCAGGCAATTAAAGATTCAAGTATAGCTATGGTGATCTTCTCTGAGAACTATGCCTCCTCAAAATGGTGTTTGAATGAACTTATCCAGATCCTTTGGTGTAAAGAGGTCCAAGGACAGCTTGTTTTTCCTGTCTTCTATCAAATTGACCCATCTGATGTGCGCAATCAGAGGCGAACTTACATGGAGGCATTCGCAAAACACGAAAGAGACTTCAGGCTTAATCAAGAGAGGGTGAACAAGTGGAGACAAGCTCTCTTTATAACTGCAAATTTGTCTGGCTGGGACTCTCGAACCTTTAGGTCAGTATGGTCTCCTCACTCTCTAAAATCTTTAACCAATTTGTGCTTGGTTAGTAATCAATTAACTACAGTTTTATACTTCTATCCTTTTTTCTTTTCTCACTGGCCAGAATTTAAATTTTCTTTGTCCGTGATTTCATATCTTAAATATTTAGATCTTGACAAATAAAATATTTATATCATATCAATAATTTTGATGACCATTTACTTCTAAGAAATACCAACAATTGACAGCTTCGTGAGTCGCATTTTCCGGGAAAAAAAAATGCTGAGGCCATTACACTATACTGATATTTTCTCTTCTTTCATTCGGAGTGCCTCTGGAAAAATTTCGTTGAATGTGTTCAAGTTTTAAATTGTGCTACCTATTTCAAATCAATTGTTACTTAGTGAAGACAACAAAAATAACGATATCACTGATTTTTTTTGGCCCTCTTTAATTGATAGTCCATTTACTTTTATCAATATCTTTTTCTGTCTCTTTTTTTTTCCCCCCTCTTACAATACTACTTTCTTTTATCGGAGAAGTTAATGAATGTGCCTACTTACTTGCCAGACAAAAGCTCATATTGCTTCTGCTGATTGCAATCACTCTATTAGCCACCTAAATTTTGTATGGCTTTCCTTGAAAGGGAGAGGATATTATCATTAGACATGTTTAATCTGTTGTTTGCTTGATGCAGCTTCTCTTTTACCTTAAAAAATAATACTTTCTTTTTTGTCTTGTTTATCTTTTTTCATATTTTAGGGACGAATCAGAACTCATTCAAAACATTGTCAACCACGTTCAGCAAAAGATTAACCTCAGTTATCCAAGTTCATTGATGGGTCTTGTTGGAATTGATGAAAATTGTAGCGAGATTGAAAGGTTACTGGAAAAAGTCCCAATAATTGGAATTTGGGGTATGGGTGGTATAGGCAAGACCACCATGGCTAAGGCTTTATTTACCAAACTCTCCTTCAAATTTGAGAGCTCTTGCTTTTTGGAGAATGTAAGAGAAGAGGTAGAAAAGCAAGGATTGACATGCGTACGCAACAACCTTCTGTTTGAGCTAATGAAGGAAGAAAGTTTCCCTTATAGGCCACCTAATGTTGCAAGTAACGCCTCTGTTATGAGAAGACTAAGTTGTAAAAAAGTCTTCATAGTGCTTGATGATGTTAGTAGTTGGAAGCAATTAGAATATTTAGCTCCATATTGTGACTACTTGGGACCAGGCAGTAAAGTCATCATTACAACAAGGCATAAGCAGTTGCTTGTAATTGCAGCAGTTAATGAAATATATGAGGCCCAACCTTTGAGCAATCGCAAATCTATTGAGCTCTTCAACCTCAAAGCCTTCCGCTCATACCATCCAGAAATTGGATATGAATCCCTCTCACAAAGGATTGTTCATTATGCAAAAGGCATCCCTTTAGTTTTGGTAGTATTGGGTTCATTTCTTCGTTCAAAAACTCCAAAGGAATGGGATAATGCATTGTCAAAACTAAAAAAGAGTCCCAATGAAGACATTCTAAAAGTTTTGAAATTGAGCTTTGATGGATTAAATTATGAAGAGAGGGAAATGTTCCTAGACATTGCATTTTTTTTGAAGGGTCAAGAGAAAGAACATGTGATAACACTATTAGAAAGCTTTGGTTTCCATGCGAGAATAGGGTTAGAAACCCTTGTAGATAGAACTCTTATAACTATTGATCAAAGCCAGGTACTCATGCATGACTTAGTAAAAGAAATGGGCTATGAAATTGTTCGTCAAGAATGTATTAAAGAACCTGGAAAACGAAGTAGATTATGTGATCCAGAAGAAGTCCATCATGTGTTGAAAAATAATACAGTAAGTAAGAAGCATTATGTTTTTAATTGTGATGTATCACATGGTGAATCATATGATTGTTACATTAATGCTATTGATTGTTACATTAATATATATATTTTTCAATTTAATTCTACTTTGTATTGCGTTTTTCAGGGAACTGATGCAATTGAAGGCATAGTGTTGGATCTGTCCAAGATTAGACATTTACACTTGAGCATTCACACCTTCAAAAAGATGTCTAATCTAAGATTTATAAAATTCTATTCGCTCAAGGATAGGAGATCTTGTAAGGTGGACCTGTCTTCTGGCCTTGAATTATTATCTGAGCAATTAAGGTACCTTCAATGGGATGGTTATCCTTTGGAGTCTCTACCATCTTCATTTTGCCCAGAGAAACTTGTTGAACTTTGCATGCGAAACAGCCAAGTCAAAAAACTTTGGGATGGAGTGCAGGTATGTAAATAAGAGAATGCATGTTCAATTTTTAGTCAGAGTTTTGTGGTTTTCTTTCTCATGTAATGTTTTCCTTTTTAATCGTGACAGGATTTTGTGAACTTGAGGGGAATAAATCTTGCTGGATGCAAGCAATTAATAGAGCTACCTGATTTTTCGAAAGCACGGAATCTTAAATCGGTGGATCTTGAATCATGCGAAAGTTTGTGTGATGTTCACCCATCCATCTTATCTTTACAAAGGCTTGTTACTCTGAATCTTGAAAAATGCATTAAACTGAAGAAACTTCGTGGTGAGAATCCTCTACAGTCTCTCGAAGAGGTCCGTCTCAATTGGTGCTTTAGTTTGACAGAATTTTCATTGTCATCAGAACAAATCGCAAGTTTAGAACTAGAAACTACTCGCATTGAGATATTGGACTCATCAATTGGGCATCTCAGTAAACTTAAACAGTTCAGTCTTGATGGGTCAAGACTGAAGAGTCTTCCAATAAATGAGTTATGCTGTTTAAGATCTCTAAAGGAGCTACGGCTTTCTAATTGTGAACAAGTAATTGACAAACTGAAGCTGCATATGCTGTTTGATGCTTTGCGGTTTTTACAAAAACTACATTTGGATGGGTGTCGGAACTTAATTGAACTTCCTAGTAATATCAAGCATCTTTCAGGGCTAAAAGTTCTTTCTTTGAAGAATTGTGATAGACTACAATCTCTACCGGAGCTTCCACCATCCATCGAAGAATTAGATGCCACCGCCTGCCCGTCATTAGAGACAATAACTCTCACTTCTGAGATGGAATATTCATTGTCGCCAGAAGAAGGAACGGCGCCTTTAACACCCTGTTCCTCGCCTGGGTATCTTATGAAACTTAGAAAGCTTCGCCTTAATGTCTCAAGTCTGATGAATTTTTCAACTGAGCAGTTATGTTATTTGAGATCTCTTAAGGAACTTACTCTTCTTGATTGCGGACTAGTGATTGATAAGTTAAAGTTGCACAAGTTATTTGATGCCTTGTGCTCTTTGGTAGACTTTTATTTGGCAGGAAGTAGTAACTTGTATGAACTTCCTGACAACATCAACTCCTTATCATCATTATATCTATTGGGATTGGCAGGAAGCAATGTAGAGTACTTGCCTTCCGGTGTCAAGCATCTTCTGAAGCTAGACTACATTTACTTGACCGGTTGTAGGAGGCTTCGGTCTCTACTAGGACTCCCACCATTCACTAGATACGTAAAGGCCACTAATTGCTCATCACTGGAGGTTGCATTCCCTTTAACAACTTCTAGGCCGCTACGGAAATATCTGGTGGAGTCCCTTTTTCTTGAAAATTGCTTGAAGTTGGGGGCGCATTCACTTTCCTGTATTGAGGAATATGCTTATTTGTCGTTGAAGCGAGCAGCATATCTCAATCGACCTGGTGCTTTTTGTTACCCAGGGAGAAAAATTCCAGAGTGGGTTAGATATAACCAGGCAACTAAGGCTTCAAGTTTCATAACCCTTGAACTCTCTTCAGCTGTGAACAACTTTTTGGGCCTTGTTTTCTGCTCGGTTCTTCCTCAGTTCCCATCAAACCCAAACTGTCAGAGTTACCTGAAATGCCAAATATATTTTGAAGATGGTGAAGAAGTCAAAGGCGAGGTTGACGATATGTGGATAACAGAGTTAAATTCGCATCATGTTTTTCTATGGTATGATCCAATCTACTCTGTATGGATTTTAAGGGAACTTATAGAAAGAGAGGATGATCAAGGCATTAGAGGTAACCCTAAGCTTTCGTTTGAGTTTTCTGTTGTCTCTTATGATGAGAATTACCGTGCAACCAAACATGATTTGATAGAAGCATGTGGAGTTTGCCCAGTATATGCTTCAGAATATCACAGTTTCCTTCAACGGATGGAATATGGGTTGGATTTGGATAGCCAAAAAAAGAGTGGTTGTGATGATGATGAGCATTCGCTTAGTGGAACTGTGGAATATGCTAGTTTCTCATTGAAGCAAGTATATGGCAATTTTGAAGGAGTATATATTTCTTCGCCTGAAAGGCCGAATACTCCAGTGGGGTTTCTAGACAAAACCACAAATACCCGCTCAGTTTATTTTCAACTTCCACATTTTGATGACTTGTTGGGTTTCATTTTTTGTTTTGTTATTCCTCAATTCTCCGCAAAAGAAAAGGATCGAAGTCACTCAAGCTGTCGGTGCCAGTTTGATGCCGATAAAAGGCTCTCTGAAAGTCATTATTTTGAAGGCCCCAGAGGATGGCATTATTCGATGACAGAATTGAATTCGGGTAATGCCTTCCAATGGTATGATCCCCTCTTTTGTGAATTCATATTAGATCAAGTTAGAAGAAAAAGAGTTGGGGATGTGGTGTTGCTTTCATTTGAATTTGAGTTTGGTGATTACTTGATTGAAGAATGGGGAATTCACCCAATATATGCCTCAGAATATAACAGTTTCCTCCAACAAAAGGAATTGAAATTGGGGCTAGGCATGAAGAGACCTCGAGATACTTGTGATGAGGAAGAACTGCATGCTCTAACAAAGAAATTGAAGGCATCTTCTATTTATTCTACCAACATTGACGAGTTACTACTCTCACTGTCTGAATTGAATTTGGAATTCGCGAAGGATGGCACTCTACAAAAATAAATTACTATCAATGCTATAGTGGTAATCTCTCTCTCTAGATTTTATCCATTAATTAGGCTTCAGTTTTGTACACAATTAATGTTAATTTAGGCAACTGAAGATATTATATGCATGCATCTGTGCATAAAAGGGACTATCTGTAAGCAATCTATAGCGAATTATCTTCTTAAAATATGATTATCTGTTCGTGACAAGTAGAAACAAATTCATTTCAATTTCCTGTTAATAGACTATTGTCCAAATTTTTAATTTTTTCCAAACTCAACGATGGGTTCGAAGAGTTTTACAAAACAAAATTTGGACGGATGAAAGTAGCAAACGAGCATAGTTGATTTCTTACCGAATGACTATTTTATTTGAGAATTTAAAGCTTTTATTTTTTTGGAGAATGACAATGTTGGATCAGATTGGACATTTAATATCAAACAATTAACTATCGCTACTTAAACTTTCAATTTCTGACTACCCAAGCTTCCAATTTTTACAGCTTTTCACAACTATAAAAGCCCTTATTAGAGATTAGTTTTTAAACTTATTAGAGATTAGTTTTTAAATGAGTCCTCAATTTCCATTCTCCCATTTCATTTCTCGCATGGGGAAGCCTTCTTTCTTTTTGATTGATATAATGGGATTAAAATTTGATTAAGATTAAAAGAACTGTGACTTACTTGCTCAAGTGAGTAGTCTTGAAAGAAGAACTATTTGATGTTGCAGAGGCAGAGCTATTCAAGCGTAAGCTGATGATAGAGTCTTATTGGTCTATCTTCCCATGTTTAATGTGTTCTGATTGAAAAGTAAGGACTTGGAATAATTATTTCTGTGATATACCATAACATAAGTTCCAGCCCACTTGTGATTACTTTTGTTCATTATAATTCCTTTTATTGGCTCTGTCTTCTTTGCATGACTGATAAGCTGTGCTTGAAGTAATTATATAATTACTCCTCTTACCATAACTTTGAGCATAATTTTAACTATTTTTATTGTTTTGTTACAGAAATGAAATGTGAAGGTAACTCAGGTACTTATGCAGGCCATTCATCTGAGTTCCCTGCACTCGAAAAAAATTAAGACTTTGATCTCATGAAACATGCTTGTTTTGATTTATTGATATCTCTGAAGATTCGTTTATAATTCTGAGTAGTGAATTGTGGTTTTTAATATCCTCCAGGATGCATAGTGCTATTCTATTTGATAAAATGACTTGTATTAATTGGCTATTATAGAATGACTGCGCTTTCCAAAAACAAAAAATGTTGCATGTTTTGTTGGCCCACTCAAAAAATACGACGTTGGACGGGAATGTGCTTGCTTCTAATTTGAAAAGATTCCTAATCATATGTTTAATTATTAAATAATAATAGTATTCGATTAAATTTGTATTTCAAATAATAAAATGTTCTACAATTAATAATTTTTTAAAAATAATTCAATCACAAAATAGTTTTCTGCATTTATATAATATTTAATAATCATTGCGTCATAACTCAAAAAAAGAAATATAATCACTCAACCTAGTCTCTTTCGTTCATAAAAAATTCAACTTTAGTTTCTTATCTTTATATAATGTTTTATCTTGGTCTCTTAATTTTAAAAAATATTTTTAGTTTATTAATTTTGAAATTCTTAATCTATGATTTTTTTGTAATAATCATAGTTATTTTAAAAATTAAATTTAATATATTAATATTGGAGAATGTTTTATCAATACTCAAGATCTCAATAAAATTATTTTTTTCTTGGCAGCTTTAGGGTTAAAAAATTAAAAATATACTTTTTAAAATTAAAAAACTAAATTAAAATATTATATAAAGTTAAAAAAACTAAATATATACTTTAAATTTAAAAATTCTTTTTGTCTGACAGAAACCAAAAAAGTCTAGCTAGACTGTCCCTTGAGTTCGCTGCACTTTTGTACAAATTGAGACTTAATCTCATGAAACATTTATTTTGCTTTATAAATTAATAACCCCAAGGATTTAGTTGTTATTTTGTTTAATTAAAGGTTTCAATTTATTGTAAACCAAAAAAAAAAGGATTTAATTTATCAAGCACTCATTACATTTTTTTTAAAAAAAATTCTTATTTGGGACCAACTGGGCAGTTGGGCCAAAAACAAAATCTGTGGGCAAACAAACGTGTAAGTCGAATTTTTGTTAAGAAAAGCTCGTTACTTTCCAGAGTCATGTAATGTAGGGGATGTTTGGATAAAAATTAAACCATAGTTTCAGAAGTAATTTTACAGTATACGAAGTAAATATGTGAAGGAGATTATCTCAATTTGCAAAAAAGTACTTTTCAGAAGTGATTTTTATATCATCCAAACACTCCCGTAATTTTAAACATTTTACTCCTAGAGCCCGCTCATTTGAACCCTTTTAAGTCAAGGGCTGAGCTTGTATTTTGGAGTCTTGAAAGAAAAGTCGGGTTTAAAAGGGCCAGCCCTGTAGGGCCAAAAAATAAATGGGCCGGTCCTGTAGGGCCGCGGGCCGGCCTGTTTAAGCCCGCTAACAGTTTTTTTAATTTCTATATTTTTTAACCAAAAAAAGAAAATTCAAACATTTTACACATAGCACATTTTTAGTTTTATTTACCCTAGCAACTCACACAAACAACATTCATAAAAAAAAATTGCTATAGTTGTTAGAAAAATAACTAAAAAGAATGTGAAAATTACAAGATTTAAAACTATGTGTATTCACAAAAATGAATTATTATTTATAAGTTGTCAAAATTTGTTAAAATATTGTATATGTAATTTTTAGGAGGTCTTTATTTATCATTCTCCCATATTTTTCATGTTTGAAATAAAATTAATTAAAAATTTTTTTGAATTGAAATAAAGATCTATATCATTTTTATAGTTAAAAACAAATTTTAGAACTATAGATGATGGATTCTTTTCTTTCTCGTTGGTAGAAAATGATTATTCTTTATGTATACTATGTTTGTTAATTAAACTTTTTTATTAATTATTCATAATTAAACTAGATCATCCGCATTATAATTATTTATTGGACTTAGTGCTTACTTATTTGTTTATGTCTACTCTCCATTTAGTTTATTTATTCAATAGACTCTATTACACTGTGATAGATATTTAGACATGATGATATTTATGTTTGTAGCTTAATTTTATTTATATTTATACATATTATTAGTAATCTTATTGTTCCATTTTTATTATTTCAATAAACTATGCAAAAAATTTAAAAAATACATTTTGGTTAAATGGGCAAAAAAGCCAACGGGCTAGCCCGAACCCGTCATCTCAAGGACCGGGCTTTTAAAAAACACTTATTTTTGAAAATCATATTTAAACGGGTTAGCCCGTTTAAACCCGAATCCGTGACGGACTGGCTCATTTTCTTAGTGCTATTTATTCCTCTAATTTTATTTGTAAACAAGAATTCTTTTTACTATGTATAAGTTATATTTTAAATTTTTTTATATAAATGTATACTTTTACTTTTTATTTTATATTTTTAGGATATATTATATATTAGATAATAATAAAACTAAAAAATGATTAAAATTTAAAATGGAGTTAATGAGATTTAAAATTTTCATGGTTTTAATAAATTAGTACGTTGGAAGTTCTTATAAATATCATGTTTGGCGTATTTTTTTAATAATATGATTTTTTATTACATTATTAAAAGAGGTCAGCTTTCCAAATTTGACTTTTGCTTTTGTTGCCAACTGCGTTGCTCTAATCCACCAGGGAAGCCCATTGACTTTCTTATTTTAATAAGTAGATAACTTGCAAGAAACAAATTTGGCAAAAAAAAAAAAAAAGAAAGAAACAAATGCCACGATCAGTATTAAAATTCCCACGGATGAAGAGAGAGAGCAACGTTCTTCAATCCTGAAGATGGGCATTGCTGCTTCATCCTCTTCCACTTCTGCACTTTCTTCCAGAAAGTATGATGTATTTATGGGACCGGGCTTCCCTCCGCTGCCAGTCCCTCCGCTGCCCTTTTCTACCCAAAACACTGCCGTTTTGGGTGCAAAATGAGGGGACCGATTCTTTTTTTTTTTTTAAGTTTTTTTGAGCAACATCTGATATTCTAAAATAATTTTTGATATACTTAACACATTAACATATTTTTTTATAAGCACCTTTCATTTTATTTTTTTTAAAACTCAGTATCTTAAATTATTTTTCCAGTAGTACTTGGTGTTTTGCAATAATTTCTTATACATTCAGTATTCTAAAATATTTTTTTAGTAACATTCAGTATCTTAAATATTGTTGCTACTTCACAAACACTTTTAAGGTAAAAACCATTTTATGATATTAGATGTCACTAAAAGAATATTTTATAATACTGGGTGTAACAAAAACTTATTTTAGAATATTGGATGCTTATGAAAAAAAAAGATATTAGATGCTACTTAAAAAATTTCAAAATACCAAAAAAAGAAAAAAGCAATCAGGCCCCCTCATTTTGCACCCAAAACGGCAGTGTTTTGGGTAGAGGAGGGCAGCGGAGGGACCTGGCAGCGGAGAGAAGCCAGGTCCGTATTTATGAGCTTTAGAGGAGACGACACCTGCACCAACTTCACTAGCCATCTTTATACTGCCCTCTGCCACAACAAGATAGAAACCTACATCGATTACAGACTTCACAAAGGAGACGAGATCTCACCTGCACTTATCCAAGCTATCAAGAACTCCACCATATCTTTGGTGGTGTTTTAACAAAACTATGCTTCCTCAAAATGGTGTTTGGATGAGCTCACCCAGATACTCCAATGCAAAAGGGGTCAGGGGCAGATTGTTATTCCTTTGTCTTATAAAGTTGACCCTTTAGAAGTGCGGAAGCAAGAAGGGGCTTACAAGAAGGCATTTGCGAAACATGAGAGAGCTTTTCGTCGCAACATTCACTTGGTGAACAATTAGTGAAATGCTCTTTTTGAGACGGCCAACTTAGCTGGGTGGGACTCTCAAACTTGTAGGTAAGTATTCATCCCCTAAATTTGAACTTTTTCTATTAAATACAACTTTTGTTTTCAAGTGTTAATTCTTTATCTATATCTATCTATCAATTTATTTTTGGTTCTTTTGCATTGACTAGGGATGAATCTAAACTCATTCAGAATACTGTTAACGATGTTTTAAGGAAACTGAATAATAGATATCCATTCGCGTTGAAAGATCTTGTTGGAATCGATGAAAATTGTCACTGTATTTAATTGTTGCTGCAAAAAGCACCGGTAGTTGGAATTTGGGGTATGGGTGGCTTAGGCAAGACAACCATGGCCATGGTTGTCTTTGCCACACTTTTTTCTCAATTTGAAAGTAGCTGCTTCATGGAAAATGCTAGGGCAATGACAGAAAAGCATGGAATAAGTTATGTACGTGATAAACTTATATCGGAGCTATTAGATGATGAAAATTTGCATGATGGCCCATCTATAGTTTCAGGATCCACATTTGCTATGAGGAGACTTGGCAGAAAAAAGGTTTTGATTGTGCTTGATGATGTATCCCATTCAAAGCATCTAGATAGTCTGGCTAAAGAATGTGGTAGCTTGGGACCTGGCAGTAGAGTCATCATAACAACAAGAGATAAGCAGGTCCTTGATGGAAGAGTTAATGAGATACATGAGGCTAAGGCACTGGGTGATCATGAATCCCTTCAGCTATTCTGCTTCAAAGCCTTCCACAAAGACCACCCAGAAATTGGATATGAGGAACTCTCAGAAAGGGCGGTTGCTTATGCCAAAGGCATTCCATTGGCTTTGACAGTCTTGGGTTCATATCTTCACTCCAAGACTACAAAGAATGGGAAAGTGCATTAAGAAAACTGAAAAAGGCTCCCAATGAGGATATTCAAGAAGTATTAAAACTGAGTTATGACGAACTAAACGATGAGGAGAGGGAAATGGTTTTAGATATTGTATGTTACTTAAAGGGTGAATGGGAACAAAGTGCTATAAGATTATTTGAGAGCCAGGGCTCCATGCAAGCATTGGCATAAGAACCCTTTTAGATAAGGCTTTAATAACTCTTGACTCCTTTAGAGTGCAAATGCATGACCTAATACAAGGAATGGGCAATGAAATTTTTCATCAGCAGTGTTTAAACGAACCTGGAAAAAGGAGCCATTTGTGGAATCATGAGGAAGTTTATGATGTATTGAAAAATAAAAAGGTAAGATAAAGAACTACTATTTACTTTGTTGGCCAAGTTTGAGTAAGTATTAAAAAAAAAAAAAAGAACCAAAAAACAAAACAAAACAAACGAAACCAGTACAATATGATACATTTTATACTTGCTTCTTTTCTTCCCCCCAAATTTTATGGCTACAGGGTACTGATGCAATTGAAAGCATAACATTTGATATGTCTCAAATTAAAGAGGTATCCTTGAGTGCTGATGCTTTCAAAAATATGCCTAATCTCAGAAGTCTCGAATTATATTCCAGGTCTCCTAAAAGCTGTGCAAACCTTCCTTCCGGCCTTGAGTCATTCTGTGACAGATTGGGGTACTTTTATAAGGATTTCTTTCCTTTGGAATCCCTTCCAGCATCAACCTTCTGTCTGCAGAACGCTGTTGAAATTCACATGAAGTATAACCATGTTACAAAATTGTGGGATGGTGTGCAGGTATATATTGACAAACGCTCGCAAATGCACACACAAATCCATCCATCCATCTCTCTCTCTCTCTCTCTCTCTCTCTCTCTCTCTCTCCACGCTTCAATTAAAATACAAGTTTCCCCTATTTGATTTCTTCTCTAATGGTTACAGGATTTTGTGAATTTAAAGGTTGTGGACCTGCATGGATCCAGCCAATTGATGGAGCTGCCTGACTTCTCTAAGGCACAAAATCTTGAATACATAGTTCTTTCACTTTGCTCAAGTCTGTGTTATGTTCATCCATCTATCTTATCTCTCCACAAACTTTTCACTTTGAGACTACGTTTTTGCTATAAACTGAAGAGTCTTTGTAGTTCGAGCCTTTTAGAATGTCTTGAGACACTCATGGTTGCTAACTGTGGGAGCCTTGAAGAATTTTCATTGTTGTCAGAGAAAATAACGGATTTAGATTTAAGTACAACAAAAATAGAAATATTACACCCATCAATTGGGCGTCTCAGGAAACTTGAAGGACTCAGTCTTAATGGTTCAAAGCTAAAGAATCTTCCAATAAATGAACTATGTTGCTTGACAACTCTTGGGAAGCTTAATTTTTATGACTGTGGACACTTAATCGACAAACCAAAACTGCATATCCTATTTAATGCCTTGCATTCATTGCAAGAGTTGTACTTGGAAGAGTGTAGTAGCTTGGCTGAACTACCAGACAATATCAGTGCCTCATCATCCTTACATCATTTATCGCTTAGTGGAAGCAGTGTGAAGAGCTTGCCTGCTAGCATTAAGCATCTTTCAAAGTTGGAGATCATCAAGCTGAGAGAATGTAGGAGGCTTCGTTCTGTACCAGAACTTCCACCATTCATTACATATTTGGACGCCACTGATTGCACGTCACTGGAGACTGCATTTATCACTCCTTCTACTTACAGCAAGGGTTCCTGTTTGCTAGTAAATTGCATGAAGTTGGATGAGCATTCACTATATGGTATTATGATAAATTCTTATTTCGCAATGATGCGATGTCTTTGTTTTGATGAGTCTTTGGTTCATTTCTTTGATGCTGTTTGTTACCGAGGGAGAACTGTTCCAATGTGGTTTGGAAATAATCGAACTGCAAATTCTTCCATAGCTATTCAACTTGCTCCTCATTTTCATAACTCTCTGGGTTTTGTTATTAGTGTCATTGTTTCGGAGTTTACTTCAAATATTAGTTTCCGATCCTTGTTTGAAGACAGAAGAACATTTAAATTGTATTACCGTTTTCACTTGGAAGAGGGTGAAGAGATCAGCGAGGCAACTGATTGGCTATATTGTTCACCTCTGCATCCTGATTTTTCGAAATCAGATCATGTTCTGCTGTGGTATGAACCCTGCAGAATATGTTTGCCAGACACCACTAAGAACACAGGTTATGTTTGAATTCAAGCATGAAGGTGATTTCTTGATCAAGGAATATGAGGTATTCCCTTTGTATGCCTATGAATATCACACGACACAAAGAGCTCACTTTGTATGCAAGATTGGATCAATTTCCTGACCGTAATAGTGATGAATGGGGGAAGGAGTGGGTGTCTGAGACTACAGCCATAATAGATCAAATAAGTGAGAGGTTAATAGTCAGCACTTTTGGAATTCCAGTTGAAGAGTTGGAGATTATGATTATGAGAATCGAAACAAGCTAGTTCCACTCTGTCAGTCAATTTTAACTTTTTGTGCTGAATAAAAAGATAGTACTCAACAGAAGCATGATTGCTTTATCAGTATGTCTCTCTCCTCTTTAATATTTTATCCCTTTGGTATGCTTAATTTTGGTTGTTGATAGCTATCTTTAAGTTGTCTTGAGCAACACAAATTAGCCAACTGCATTGCTGATCATATTTCTTTCCTTAACAGGATTTCTGCCTCCTTGTAACACAAATGAATCAGTGATGCTATTCTCTGGATATAATGAGTCTAATAAGCCAAGGACCATCTTTGAAATGGATACCTTGAGAGGTGTGGGACATCAACTTTTTTGTTGTGAGAATTGTTGATTTATTCAATTCTTCAAGGACACGTTGACTAACTTCTGCAGTGTGCTTTGGTACCTATTTCAATGTATTAAAATATATTTTTCAATTATAATAAATTTTTTAACATTGTTTGATACTTCAAATGGTTATTGGCCCCCAAGAAAACTTCAAATGGCATGCTGATTAACCAAGACTTGCAAACTTAGTTAATCCAAAAAAAAAAAAAACTTGCAGAACTTGCAGTGCCTCAAAATATTTGCGAATCGGTCAGACTGTTGCTAAATGCAACTTTTCCAAAAGTTACTGTAATGAAGAAAATATTGTCATAACCCGCACAAACATCTTAGACTACTGTTACTAACAATTTAATTCATATTATATATATATATTTATATGTTGCTTTGTGTGGGCCAAATGGATTATTTTCTAAACAAATGTCGATTCTGTTTTTCAATAAAATATCGTTACTTCGTAATATAACTAAATTATATTGATGCAGAAGCAAAGTCACCTAAAAATAGCTAATATGCAGTGGAATCGGATAAAAGCATGACATAACAGCATACGTGTGGTACGTATCCCTGTGATAATTAGTTTTTGGATTAAAATTACTTCCCTTGTTATGATTTTATCAACTATCTTTCACAAGTTCTTTTTTTGTAGGATTTTTTCCTTTTTGCAAGGGAGTTCAACTTCTACAGCAGAGGTGGGGAAAACTTCTACATGACTTAAGAGGGAGTTTGACAACCCCCATATAAGCGCTTGAAAAAAATGTTTTCACACAAGTCGAAATAAAAACTTCTCTCATTTACTCACCTCAGGTTTACAAAATCATTTTTAAAAAGCTAATCCAAACACCCCAAACCAATTGTGGCTAAGCATTAATCAAATGTGGGATTATCATTGATTAGCGGTAACTAAGGAAGCTTATGGAATTGACTTGTAGTAACATCTTTCTGATGCAAACCCTGCTGTCCTCAGTCAATTTTGAAGAACTTTGACAACATTATTGACACGAGTTTGTTTTCTGCTTTCTTCTTCATCTGTTCACTACTGCCGGAACAAATCCTTATTGGTCTGTCTTCTGTATGTTTAATAATAAGAATTTGGGATTATTATTTCTCATTTAAACCAAAACTTCCGTCTAAATTATGATTTCTCTTGTTCCTCATAAAGTTAAAAACTCCTTTTCTTCACTTTATTGTCTTCTTGGCAACATGAATAACAAGCTGTCCTGTGGATGCTTGAAGTGATTATATAATTCTCTATCTTCTATTTTTGGTATAGAAAGGAAATGTGATGGTTAGCTGAGGAATATATATCCAGACCATGCCTTTGAGTTCCATACATACATGTATCAATTAATTGAGACTTGATCTTATCATTTAGCTTTATCAATTAATTAATATGCTTAAGGACTTTTTTTTTTGGCCAGCAAAATAAAATTTCATTATAGCTTTAAAAACCCTACAAAACCATGTCTGAAAACAAAACAAACTAAGCTTAGAGCTTAGCGAACAATGGGGTTCACATTAATTAATATCCTTAAGGATTTTATTGTAATTCTTAGTAGTGAATTGTGGTTCATATTATTCTTCTTGATGCATAAACTAAACCCATCATTATGATCTATTCATCTTTGGGGGAGAAGAGCTTTATTTATTCTTTTCTACTTACCAATGACAAACAAACTAGGTTGGTATAATTGGTATTTATTTCAAGTGAGTGTCTGGGATCTTTTACCCTTTTTCATTTTCAACTTTTACATATTAAATAAATCTAGTTTCTTTTTTTAAAAAAAAAAAAAAACTGCCCACGTTGGCTCTATCGTTTCTGTTGCTTTCCAACACAATATGTTCTTTGGAACAGTTCCAAAAAGTGGACTTTGTCACATATTAGTCTGTTCCTAATTATAAGAACCTTTTGATCAAATTACGTTTTTTAAGAAAAAAGTTAAAATTAGTTAAAAGCAATTAATATGTAATAAATATAATTTTTTTTCAAATATATCCCTAATAAATGTAAGAGAATAATAATGAGATAAATAGAGAGAGAATACTGTCTTCAATGCAATATATGAAATTTATTAGAGGTAAAATAAGTAACAATGTATTAAATGTTCAAACAAATTCAAAAAGTACCTTATAAAAAGAAACAAATCCATTCAAAAAAGGGAATTTTATAATTAGGGACGGAGGGAGTACCGCGTTGTCATAATACTACCTCGAGTACTAAATATAAAAAACTAATTGATTAATTTGAGTAGATTAAGAAAATAAGTTAAATGAGTTATTTGTAATAAATATGTGTTATCTTTTCTAAAATATCCTTGCTAATTAAGTTTGTTGGCTAGGACTACTATTTTTAAAAAGATTCTCTTGAAAAAAGAAAAAAAAAAGAGAGATAAAGTAGATTGTGATCTTATATTTATAATCAAAATAAAAGTCAAACGATATCAGAGGTAGACTTTATTGTTTTTAATGAATAAATAACTTCTTGTCTGTTTAACACTAATCACTAATTATAAGTCATGCATTTGCATTTTTTTTAACGCATGGTTGACAGACGTTTTCCGAATGCATGCATCATTTATCTCATTAATAGCTATAATAAATATGCAGTTTGCATTGCCATCGAATATTATATGATTTTTGTTTGGTTTTGTTGGCCATACCTCCTATTCTCATTTGGTGCTAATCACAACAATGAGAATGTAATACTTATTGCTGTGATAAAATCTGGACTATTTAAGATATAATATGAACGGTTCGTATTTAAAATTTTGAAAAAGACAAACACACAAGTTTCAAGACTCACATTTGATAAAATATTTAAAATATACTTATTTTTGAAAAGATTAATATAATTTTTAGTTGCTTGATATTGTTTTATTTTGATTTTAGTCTCTTAAGTTTCAAGTCATATATTTTAATCCCTCAATTTTTTTATTTAAAACATTAATTTTTATATTTTAATAAAAATCTGGACCATTTTATTTCTTAAGAAATCAAAAATTATGATTTAAAATAGAGAAACCAAAACCAAATAAGAACAAACTTGAAAAACAAAAAAAAAATATCATATCATCCATTTTTAAAACTTAAACAAGCGAGTCCAAATTTTCCAGGAAATGATTTTTCCAAAAAATGTATTTTTTAATTGAAAAACGTTTAAACAAATAGACCTCAGGTAAGATTTTAGAAAGCCTATTTAGATTTCTTAACATAGCATGAACACGTACCTTGTTTTATTTAAAAGAAATCCTTTTTTTTTTTGATTACTCCATCCGGTATTTCAGGATAATAGGCGTCTTTCAGCCATGACAACGACTCCAGACTAATCCTTTTAACAGTTAAAGTTAACTTTTCTTACCGGTAAAAACAATGCCATTGCTATGTTTAGAAATGCATGCTTGAGAGAAAATTGCCCCACCAAATACTCTCAAAAAGATAGTTTGTCCTTCATATGAGACAATTAATTGATTCGTACAAATCGTAGTTAAAGAGTGAACAAGTTTCCGGTGGAAAATTGTGAATATAATAAAGGGGCCTGGCTTTCCTCCGCTGCCATCTCCGCTGCCTCTCCGCTACCAGAAACGCACCGTTTAGCGAGTAAAATGACCAATGGGACTTGACAAAAAACAGTGCAGTGCCAGACTCCGGAAGTCGACGAAACGGAAAAAAAAAATCAGGAAAAACACGGACACGGACACGGACACGGATTCTGGATAGGCAGCAAAAGAAATATTACTAAATAAAAAAAATTAGGGGAAAAACGACTGAGCCACAAATTTTAAGATGGAAGTAATAATTATTCGGATTGTGGCTCAACGCTTTATATGCACTATTTTCATCTCTAAATATACAATTTTTGTCAAAATAAAAAATAAAAAATAGAAATATTTCCTACGGAAATTTAAAATTATTTCATTTTTCAGTTTTCCTTTCAACAGATGTGAAAAAAATATTGGTTGTTGAGGGAGATTCCCAATAATTCGTTTTGCAAAAAAATATTTTCGCATTTATTTAACAATAAATGATCTTTTCAAAATATACCCATATTTAACGGGGGATAAATGTAAGAAATATTTCAGGAAAAAAGAACTCCTTGATCTACTGATTACTCATTGAAATATTTTAAGAAAAACTGAAAGGGAATGCTTTCTTAGGAAAAAAAATAATCTTGAATTTTGGTAGGAAATATTTGATATTTTTAATTGTGATAGAAATGGTATCTTTAGAAATGAAAATAGTGCATACTCCATCCGGTTACAAGACACTTTTTAGGGAAAAAAAATTGTCCCTTTTTATAGGGCACTATGATAATTTTAGTGAGTATTAAATTTTTTTCCAATATATATTCATATTTAATAAAGGTAATGAGAGAGTATAAATCAATAGTATGTAT